ATATGAAAATTTTAATTTAAACAAAAGATCTGGTATATTAATACAAACAACGGAATACCAGCACGCATATACAAAATGTTACCGCCATGTCCTAGATGTGGAAAAGATAATTTCAAAAAAACTCGAGATCGAGATGCACACTTAAATCGTAAATTTCCATGTAAACCTAGTAATATCCAAAATCCTATTGTAGCTCCAGACACAAAGTATCCTGCTTCACAGACACCATTACTACAAAATCCTACTACAAATCAAATTTCAACTCAAACCTATATTTCAGTAGGTGATTTAATCCAATTAGACGATACACTCTCATCACCTATTCAAAATATATCTTCAGACAATGTTTCTTCAAATCTACCCCAAAATGATATAGAATGGTTTGATAATATGGAAAAAAGATATAATGCAAGCACTGATGAAAAATGGCCTGAATTAGCTGGAACCTTGCTCTATGACTATCCAAAAAGAAATATCATAACTGTAGAAGGCAATTTTGGTGGTAAACCAGTAAGAAAAAATTATAAATTAACAAACAAAGAGTTAATATTCGAAGAATGCGAATCTAATTTTGATCCTTTAAGACCTCATCAGAACTTAACAACGATGAGTTTATGGCAAGCAGTTATTCCATCTTCTAAAAACATAAAATATAGATTCAATCATTATGTTGAAAACCCTAATAAATATTTAGAAGCACTCTATATGCCTCAACTTATAGCAAATGCAAGAGAACAAATTACAAAAGTCCTTAAAGCCGAATTGTGTAAAAAAGATCAAATAAAAACCGCATTAATTGCTCAATGTATATATTCTGGGCATGTTAGCAAAGAGAAGGGCAAACTTAAAAGTCCATTAACTATAATTGCTTATCACAGAAGCCTCATGCGTGTTATTCTTACAGAAGAAGATATTAATAAACATATAAATTTATCTATATCAGAAATAGATAATGCTATAGACTCATTTATGCAAGAAGGATCAGGAATGAATTTGGTAAGAATTGAAATGTTAACTATTGAAGCTTATACATTACGATGAGCTACTAGTGGATCATATATCTCGACTCCAAAGAAGCTTGCTAATACTAAATGTACTATTAATCCTGATAATTCAGAAATAATTGATCCAATTACTGGTATGCCATCTGATAATTGTCTTCAAGGAGCATTAGCTTGTTATTTTGCTAATAAAGATGGACATACAGAACACCTTGAACAAATATATACAAAAAAGGATTATAAGCAATACTTAGATATAGTCAATTTGGATGGAATTCCAATGCCTACTCCAATCTGCTCATGAATATTTAAAAAGATTGAAGAAATGAATCCTGATATCTCTATTAATGTCTGGGAATGGAAAGAAGAAGTAGCAATACCCAAATCTGTAATTTATAGCAAGAACTATAATAGACCACATATTATTCATCTAATGGCTCTTACAGATATTACTAAATCTGAAAATGATAAGTACAAGCAAAAAAATCACTTCTTATGGATTAAGAATTATAATGGATTAGTATTCAAGGATACAAAACATTATGGTAAAAGGTATCTTTGCAACCGATGTACTATAAGCTAGCCATCAGAAAAATCCAGAGACTATCATCAAAAGCACTGTTTTGGATTAGGTGAAGATTGTCAAAGAGTTGATCTATCTATCAAGGATGTTAATGACTTTGAGAAGTTTAAGAACTATGGACAAATAATCAATGCTCCATGTGTTATTATAGCTGACTTTGAGGCTGATAATAAGAAATGCAATGAGAAATATGGAGGGCAAATGTGAAAGCTTGCTGAACAAAAAGCCAATAGCTTTTGCTACTTGGTTCACTGGATCGATACTGGAAATATATAGGGCCCATTCCTATATAGAGGAGAAAATGCTACTCAGGAGTTTGTCAAAAGAATTGATAAAGAGTTGATTGAAATTAATAGAGTTTTAGCTATAAAACATGATCGAATTGAGACTGACAAAGACAAAAAGAAATTCAATGAAGCAGATAGTTGTTGGATATGCAAAGAAAAATTCATTATAGATGAAGATAAAGTCAAATACTTAGAAAATAAGGCATCATGGCTTAATAATAAGCTAAAAAATACCTCAATAAATTCAGAAGATTATAAGACCTTAATAAAACAAATTGATAAGATAACTAAAGATATTAATCAAGAAAAGTCTATAGATATAAAGGTTTGGGATCACTGTCATATTACAGGTAAGTTCTGAGGAGCCGCTCACAATATATGTAATCTCAAACTTCAAATCGAAGCATAGAAAACTCCTATTCCAGTTGTCTTTCATAATTTTCGGGGCTATGTCTCTCACTTGGTTTGCGAATCTGTTGGAAAATCAGTTAATGCAAATCAAATCAAGGTTGTAGCTAAGATATTTGAGCGATACAAGTCTATGAAGGTAGGCTAGCTTAAATATATAGATAGCATGCAGTTTATGAATAGTAGCTTAGCTAGTCTTACAAAAAATTTGAGTAATAATCATCCAATAACATCTAAGCATTTCAAAAAACTAGGCTATACAAAAGATCAATTAGATTTAGTATATCGAAAAGGAGTTTATCCCTATGATTATATAGATTCACAGGATAGGTTTTTAGAGACTGAGCTTCCACCAATTTATAAATTTAGTACATATCTTTATGGTAAAATTAGCCAAAAAGATTATGAGCATGCCCAAAAAGTATGGAAGGAATTTAACTGCAAGACTTTAGGTGAATACCATGATATATATCTTAAAACCGATATGCTTAGTCTTGCTGATGTCTGGACACAGTTGCGAAAAATGTCTATGGAATATAATGGACTCGATCCAAGCCATTATGTTTCACTTCCAGCATATTCTTGGGATGCTATGCTTAAGATGACAGAAGTTAAAATCGAGCTCTTTACAGATATGGCTATGCATGATTTTATAGAAAAGGCTAAGCGTGGAGATATAGCTATGGCATGTAAACGATATTTCAAAGCTAACAATCCTAAGATAGGTAAAACATTTAACCCATTTAAACCAACAACATGGATTCTATATATAGATGCAACAAATCTTTATGGCTGGGCTATGAGTCAGTATTTGCCTATTGGAAATTATAAATGGGAGGTAAGTCATAAATATCTTGAGGATAATCCAAATGAGCAAAAGAAATATCTTGAAAAAATTCTTAATACTAAAGCAGATGCAAAAAGAGGATATTTTCTAAATATTAAGGCGCACTTTCCTCTAAAAACTCATGACTATTTGAGTGATTTACCTCCAGCTGTAGAAAACATGGTTGTAAATAAAAATATGTTGTGCCCCCATACTACAGAGCTTGTAGATAACTTAGATAGTAGACGTTTCTCAGCTACAGAAAAATTAGTACCCCATCTTGGTTCACGAGAAGATTATATTATTCACTATCAAGAGCTTCAATACTATATAAAATTAGGTATGATAGTAGATGAAGTTACAGAGATCTTATCATTCGATCAGGATAATTGGCTTGCTTCCTATATAGCTTTTAATACAGAAAAACGTAATGAGGCCAAAAAAGCTAGAAATACATTTCTAAGTGACTTTTTCAAACTCAAAAATAATGCTGTATATGGTAAAACTATGGAGAATGTTCGTAAGTATCAAGATGTCAAGCTCATGGCTATAAATAATAAGCAAGATGAAAAAAAATTTATTAACCAGATTCGTAAACCCTTATTTAAGTATGCTAGACAACTTGGTCCTTCACTTATAGGAGCACATATGGGAAAAGCTAGTATAACTCTTAATAAACCTATTATTGTTGGAGCATCAGTCTTGGGTCTTAGCAAACTTCACATGTACTGCTTTTGGTATGGATATATAAAAGAAAGATATGGTGATAATGCTCAGCTTGGATATAAGGATACAGACTCATATTTATTTCAAGTTGAGACTGAGGATATCTATAAAGATATGAAAGAGCGACCTGATCTCTTTAACCTTAATGGTGATACAACTATTGGCAAATATAAGGATGAAACTCCAGATAGTGTAAATAATATAGTCTTTAGATAAAAGGAAGGATAGAAAATTGATTTACATCTACTCATACAGAGCTAGTAGCTTGTCTAGTAGCAGTGTTATTAGTTCCCAACAGTTGTAGAGTAGAAATAAGGATAGATAGCATATATGCAATTCACATAATTGAAAATTGTCTCAAAAATGAGAAGTTATGTGAGTGGTTAAAAACTAAGAACAACAATATTTTGCATGCAATCAAGAAGACCTGCAAGAGTAAATCAGTACAATTAGCATTTACTAAAGTTAAAAGTTATTCAGGTGATACATATAATAATATAGCAGACACACTTGCAAAAGAAGAGATATATGAAACACAGAGCATAGAACTAAGTAACATAAGTAACAAGAGTATAAAATATATCACTGAATAGAAATACCTAAGTCTTGAGACTCCATTAAGAGCCTTCATTAAAAAGGTAGTTCAAACAATATACAAAGCAGAATGGACATAGTTAAGAAAGAAAAATGATGAGAAGCACCAGGCAAGGATCTAAAAACAAAACTGAAAAGCATTTAAAGATATTCTTGAAAGCTGTTATATGCAATACAAAAACTCAGAAGTAAACTATCTGCGACTATTTAAAATCAAATGCATCAAAAATCTTCTTCCAATAGTTGAAGCCTTAAACTGTAGAAAACTACAATTATACAAAAATAGCTTATACAAAAGATGTGCTAACGAAAAGAAAACAATCGAACAAATTATCTTATGTGAAAAAACATATCTAGCATATAAAAGAATTGAAGAAGAAACATGAAAATAGTTTAATAAAAACAAAAGAAAAGAAGAGAATTGAGATTTAACAAGTATACAACAAGCTATCCATTATGAACAGGAAGAAAAGTATCAGAAAAAGAAAGAATAGATAAGAGGTATCCTTAGCAAAGAAGATGTGGAAAAAATTAAAAATATCATTAGCTCTGAAAGAATAATGATCAAATTTTGGAGCCTCTTCTGGTATATTTGGATAGAACTCGTATATAAAAAGATATAGAAAAATCGATGCAAAGATATAGAGACATGAGAGAAAAAAGAAAAAATCTTCAAAAAAGAGAAATACTCACGAAAGGAGAAAGAAAAGAAGAACTAGAAAAAAGCACTAGTTGGAAAAAAAACAGATAACAGAGTAGATGAGAACATAGAAAGTTGTAATTATAGTCTTAAAATAGCGTTAGATAGCATAGTTAAAGAAGTAAAGTAGGGAATAATAGCTAGTTGGATTTAAAATTAGTCATGATGAGCTGTGGCATTCTTCCTATGTTGAGGGTAGCTTATATTTTATAAACTGCTTTAACATAGGACAAAGATCACTATAGCAGATCGTACATAGGTATCTATAGGATAACTAGATGAGTCATAGCTTAAAAAATTAGACATTAGATAGTATATAGCTAAATAATATTGTTTTCAAATAGAAAACAAATCTAAATAAAGTTATGGCATGACTGCTGAATTTAAAAAAAAAAAAAAAATTTTAAATTAATTTTAACCAAATTTACAACCACTTTTTTTACTAAACTCAATTATGCAAAGGTTCTTTCTCTTATCAAATCTATTCCTTCAAGTACTATACAAAACCATAACTAAGTTGCATTGAATTTTACTTAACTTTATCTATATCTAACTGAAAACTTTCAACGAATTAACTATAAAAAATTTGCAAAAGATCTGAGCATTAGTCTTCGCAAATTTAAACTTATCTACTACAAAAATAAATATGAAAATACTACTCATAAAGCATCTCTTCTAACTATTAATAATAACAAACAATTTAATATCTATGTTTATTTTAATATTTCTACACTTCAATTTCTAAATAACTTCTAGATTCTCTCACTCAAGAAGTGCAAACCTCAATTTGATGAGTGATATAAAAATTTTTTCAAAATCTATAGTTGCTAATTCCTTCAAATCAACAAAGAGAAAACCTACAACTATCTAAAATATCAAATCGTATAACAATTTGCAAAATGTTGTAAAGAACTATTATCTGATCAATACAATATTAGAGAAATTCTTTTTCTACAAGATCGAATTTACAAAACTAGGAAACTAGCACTATTTCATATTCACAAATGTGACCATACTTTACAAAACCTTTGCAAGTTGCTTGCTCCTGAAATTGAGCATAAATTTAAATTTTTAAATGAATACTATTTCAAAGAATCCTTTAAACACTATTCTCCAACAAAATGTATTAATGTACCTTTAGATTTATCTTTATTTAATAAGAATCAAACTAAAGAAATATCATTTCAACAATCTACTCCTCTTAGCCTATTTCATATTCTTGATCATGATCATGATGAAGAGCTTTCTAAGGCTAATCAAGTAGATCTTAATTCAAAAAGAGAAAGCTTTTTCTTTTATAAAATCTTCAAAGCATTTTTAGCTATAGCAGCAAAAAATGACAATATAGAAAATCTCTCTTTGGATGAAGCAAAAAAAAAACTTACAATCTAACCTATTGATACTTATTATTTAGCAAGAGTAATTATATATTATTCAATTAAACAAAAACCAACTATTACAATTATTAAAATTCTTGAACAATACAAGACAACATTCTATTTAGAAGCAGAAAAATATCTTAATCATAAATTTAATATTAAATTTAATAACCTAATTCAACTTGAAGAAACTCTCTTCTTTAACACTCAATCTAACAAACAGCCTGAGATTAAAATGAAAATTAATGATCTCTTTGCTGATCCAGAAGTTTTTAATAAATCTTCAAACAAGACTTCTGATATACTAACAACTATACCCGATACTGAAATCTCTCTTTTTTAATAAATTCTTCTGTAGAAGTCATAAATATAGCTACCATCTTTGAAATAATGATGTTTTCTACTGACTGTAGGCCATTTTCAAAGAAGAATGATAGGAGTAAGCAGGTAGTCAAGCCTACTTCTGCAGAGAACTAAGTTTATATTAGTCAGACTTAATGTACAGAGCAGGCTTTAGCAAACTTCACAACTATAAAAACTAGTTATATGACAAGTGTTTCTACAGAAGATTCTAACTTAACTTTAGTAACTATCTCAGTAGGGCGAAAGTGGGAGTTTTGGTCCACTTTTTTCACACCTCTATATGACATATTGTTAAAAACTGCTTTAATCATCATCCTGCTATATTTTATAGCACTTTTATATACTTTAGCTTGGTGTAAATTTTTATATAGCTAGAACACATTCATTTACTCAAATTTATATCAAAAAAGATAACATTTTATTATAGTAGAGTATAAATCTGCACTTGTGTCATCACTCAAATAACGATAAATTTGTGTTAGCATCGTCATTCTAGTATAATGATATTAATTTTTATAAAGTAGAAGCTCCTGAGCCTTTTCCTGAAGTCTATTAATATACTGAGTTACATAATATCCATTAGCATGCTTTCTACAAAGGCCAGGTTTAGAGCTAGTTGGTTTACTACAAACTTTGCAAGGAAAACGCTTTCTAGCCTTCCAATGTTCATGGCATCCTTCAGGCTGACAACAAGTACGTCCACAAATAACTCCAGTTCTGAGTAAATAATCACAAGTATATTCACCTATCATGGTATATAAATATGAATAATTTTAATTTAAACAAAAGATCTGGTATATTAATACAAACAACGGAATACCAGCACGCATATATAAAATGATACCTCCATGTCCTAAATGTGGAAAAAATGATTTCAAAAAGACTCGAGATCGAGATGCATACTTAAATCGTAAATTTCTATGCAAACCTAGTAATACCCAAAATCCTATTGTAGCTCCAATACCATTACAACAAAATTCAGCTACAGATCAAATTCCAACTCAAACCTATGTTCCAGTAGGTGATTTAATCCAATTGGATGACACACCTTCTTCACCTATTCAAAGCTCAGATAATGTTTCTTCAAATCTTCCCCAAAATGATACAGAATGGTTTGATAATATGGAAGATAAATATAATGCAAATACTGATGAAAAATGGCTTGAATTAGATGGATCATTGCTCTATGACTATCCAAAAAGAAATATCATAAAGATAGAAGGTAATTTTGGTGGTAAACCAGTAAGAAAAAACTATAGACTAACAAATAAAGAGTTAATATTTGAAGAATGCGAATTTAGTTTTGCTCCTGATCTATTAAGACCCCATCAGAACTTAACAGCAATGAGTTTATGGCAAGCAATTATTCTATCTCCCGAAAATATAAAATATAGATTTAATTGTTATGTTAAGAATCCAAATAAATATTTAGAAGTTCCATATATGCCTCAACTTATAGCAAATGCAAGAGAGCAAATTACAAGAGTACTTAAAGTTGAATTGCGGAAAAAAGATCAAATAAAAACCACATTAGTTGTTTAATATATATATCATGGACATATTAGCAAAGGAAAAGACAAATCTAAAATTTCAACATATATGATTGGTTATCATAGAAGCCTTATACGTGTTATTCTTACAGAAGAAGATATCAATGAACATATAGATTTAACCATATCAGAAATAGATAATCAAATAGACTCATTTATGAAATCAGGATCAGGATGGAATTTGGTAAGGATTGAAAAGCTAACTATAGAAGCTTATACATTTTAAAGAGCATTTGGTGAATCATATATCTTGACTCCAAAGAAGCTTGCTAATACCAAATGTACAATTAATCCTGATAATTCTAAAATAATCAATTCAGTTACAGATATGCTATCTAATAATTGTCTTCAAGGTGCATTAGCTTGTTATTTTGCTCATAAAGATGGACATACAGAACATCTTAAACGAATATTTACTAAAAAGGACTATAAGCAATACTTGAATATAGTCAATTTAGATGGAATCTCTATGTCTACTCCAATTTGCTCACGTATATTCAATAAGATTGAGGAGATGAATCCCAATATCTCAATCAATATTTGGGAATGGAAAGAAGAGACAGCTACTCCCAAACCAGTAATAGCTAGCAAGAACTATAATAGACAATATATTATCTATCTTATGGCTCTTACAGATATTACTAAATCTAAAGATGATAAATATGGGCAAAAAAACCACTTTCTTTGGATTAAAAATCCTAATAGATTGGTTTATAAAGATAATACTAACAAAGTTAAAAAGTATCTATGTAACCGATGCTTTCATAGCTTCTAGTCAGAAAAATCTCTAGCATATCACTAAGAGTATTGTTTTGGATTAGGAGAAGCCACCCAAAGAGTCAAATTACCTATCAAAGATATCAATGACTTTGAGAAGTTTAAGAACTATGGACGAATGATCAATGCTCCATGTGTTATTATAGCTGACTTTGAGGCTGA